CTGACTGCCGCCAGCTCCGTAAATGCGAAACACCCCGTCAGAGTTCTACCGCGTGAGAAGTTTCCTATTCAGGAAGAACAAAGTAGAATTCCCATCTGTCTACTTTGTAGCTTAGGAGAAACAAGGCTACCTTGGGATAAGAAAGAAGAGACTCAAAATTGTGGAGCAGATAAGCAACAGTCTACGAATTTAATTAATATGCTACTTTAATCTACCGTTAGCATCAAGATGCAGATGTATCAAAGAACTCAAGAGAAACTGCAGGCTTTCCTGGGCAGGGAGGTGTGCAGCGTACCAGTTGGGAGCGACCCTTCTCCACAGCAGAGGAACCAGGTGGCACGGTGCTCTCTGCAGTTTGGCCTGCTGCCACTTAAACAGCTGGGCCCAACCCCTGGCAGGCCGAGTGGCAGAGACAAAGGCCAGGGATACCTGTTTCCACGGGAACACTGCCAAGCCCGTTCAGGTGAGCGGCCCGTTTGCTCAGGTGCTCGCTGTGGGCTAGGATGCCTTCCACGTTGCTGACTTTACAGCCGATTCCACAGCCTGGCACGGCCTGGAAGTCCATGCAGTATCCCAAGGCCTCCATTCCAAGTTCCTGGGAGGGGAGTGGGAAGAGGAATTAGAAAACAGAGGTGAGGGGGATTTGAGAGGGAGGCAGGACAAAGACCAGAGGCGGGGCGAGGGCGAGAGCGAGAGCAGCACTAACCGGGAATGAAGAGGGAGAAGAGTGAGAAGTAGAATAATTGCAGGGAAAGGAGAGATCAACTATCAGCTATTAACCGAGCAATTATTTTTCTCTTCTCTGACCCAGACATTCTTTCACATCAAACACCTCAAATTAAGGGTGGGGCAGGGGGTAGTATGAAGGTGCCAAACAGAGGAAAGATATTATTTTTGTGTTGCAAATATTTTTATTAAAATGATGGAATAGGCAAGTAGTAACAAAACTATTCTGAGGCTACCCATTTACAGGCCCTGGAATGCGGGGGAGTGACGTCGCAGGAGAAAGAAGTGAGGCTGTTTGGTTAACAAAACAAAAAGGATGACTGAGGGTGAGCGGAATTCTTCCTGAAACATCAGAAACCTGAGAGGTGACACGGCAGCCTGTCTGACCCTGCACGAAAGGCAAATACATGAAATACGGTTTCTGAAGATTCCCTGTCCATGAAGAGTTGTCAACTTCCTCAAGGCACCCATGTCACCTTCTACATTTACTGAAAATCGTGCTTGCTCAGACCATTTAAATTTTTTCTGGACAATGTTCTGGCACATCCCACTGTCTCCATATTCAGATTGGAAACAGGAAATTAAACAGGACCTTTCATCTGGAGAGATAAAAAGATGAATGCTTTCCCATTAACTGTCTCAAGAATGCACTGGGCTTTTGGCTCACTTCTGCGGGTTCCTCTGCATTTCAGGCATCCCTGAATGAATGGCTTGCTCCCTCCCTCACCCTAATACCCCATTCATTTTTGTAACCCTTTGCACTAGGCACTCATAATGTACTGACTTTATATACCATCTGTCTTCCCCACTCAACTGCCAGCTCCCAGAGGGCAGAGTTCAAATCTTACTAGTTGTTGTCACAAGCACAGATGCTCAGTAAATGCTCAGTAAATGACTGTTAACGCTGAATTGCTTTTGTGATGATCTGGAATGTGACAAGGGACCAACTACCGCAAGCCACGTCTCCGGGGGCCTGCTAAATGGTTTTCCAGACCACGTAAGCCAAAGCCTCCTTGAAGGCGGCTGACTCAGGTGCCAGTGACAGCTGAGAGGAAAGGCCTGTGAGGAGGAAGGAGCTGGGAGGTTTCCGGCCAGCCAGTGAGAGGAGAGGTGGCAGGAGGAGCAAGGGGACCAGCGATGCCCAGGTCTACATACCTCTTTACAGTATTTGGTGATGGCCGCACCTAAGGGGTGCTCGCTGCTCGCCTCTGCAGTCCCCACCACAGCAAGAACCTTCCTGAGGGGCAGCGTGGCCACATCCACAAGCAAGAGGACCCGCATGACTTTGGGGACCCCGTGGGTAATGGTGCCAGTTTTGTCAAACATCACAGTCTTTATCTGCCAAAAAACCACATCTCAGTGACCGCAAATACTTTTAGAATTCGCACAATCTTGAGGCAGAACTGCACTGAACTTTCCTCAAGCAGATAACACGCCTTCATATTCCATAACATAATCACCTGCACTCAATCCCAAGGTTTGATCACTCCCCCTACAAAAACAGTTCCTCTCTCTGCCCAGTCAAAAAAACCCACACTGTGGCTTACCCTTCACCAGGCTGGGCTGAAAGTGCTCACTGCGATGCTCCGGGAGGTGGAACGCTACTGTCTCCCGGACATACTACCGCGATCAGATCAGGAGCCAGGGGGTTGGCCTTTCTCCCTGTCCACTGCTATCTGCTGAGCCAGCCATAGTTTTCTCTGGCTTGCGTAAGTACAAAAGCCTACTGAGAATAAAGCTCTTGCACTCCAAGTTCAAGGAAGGAAGAGAGAGTTCCTTGTCCATAACAACCAGTAACCACCAGAGCCAGGTTTTAGACCTGCCCACTTGGTCAATGGCACCAGTCCCCATGGGTCTGGCTCAGCCACCGAGCAGCAGCCACACTCTGTTTCCATGGCCAGAATGTACTAATCCCTGGACACACATTTCCCCAAACCCCATACAAGGGCAGCTGCTTGCTGTGTTCAGACTGTGTCCCACAAGCATGGTTATCTCTTATTTAGCAAACAATAGGTTCAGCTCTTTGTTTCTGATGCTGAGTGCTAGCCTCTTCAACACAATCAATTGCTCTTCCTCTTCTTAGTCTGTCCTTCACTATGTAGCTAGATCTTCCCAACAAGTAATACAATCACATCAAGCAGGCGCTTTGGACTCTCCGCAACTCCCTGTCGTTCTTTAGGTTAAGTTCTGCATCCTTTAATTAACCTCTAAGGTTCTTCGAGGCTCCTCCCTCCCTCCTTTCCTCCCTCAACATTCTCATCTCCCAACTGTTTCTCTCTCCTTCAATGATTTTCTTTCAGTTCC